TTGTAACTTTCCAGAGGTGGTTCTAAATAAGCTGTCACCACTCTGGAATGATACCAAAATTATTGCAGAAGTAGGTCTCTGAAATGAGTGTGTCATTACTAGACACTGGTCAAAAAAGCATGAGGTAGGTAGAAACTCCAGGCAAAGGAAATGAGAACTCAAGGGGGAACGTTAAGCTGATGTTTGAAACTAAGAATTTTGATGGGAAATGTAGGCAGGATGGGCATGCCCATTTTGAAAGGGATATTGTAGAATTAAAAATATGGAGAAGGGCATAAAAATAATCATAAGAGAGACCTACTGGATTCATATCCCTTATACTGATGTACAGTTTTATCATAACTAAAACAGTGAGGGATATGGGCAAATAAGTATATACTATTTGTCTGATTTCCCTGGATATCTGTAATACTTCTTTTATTGACTAGCAGATGGAAACAAAAGGACAAAGTCTTACAGAAGGCATATGCAAATTTTGGAGTGGTGCATTGCTGTAAATGCTATAAATGAGTTTGAAAGACTGCACAAATGTGTAGGGGCAGAAAAACATCTGTTGGGGCATTTCAGTGTGATGGTTACAGTGGGAAGTCTGAAGGTATTGCTTGTTTGAAGATGCATGGGCTTGCCAGGACAAAGATTAGCCTGTTTTGTCACACATAATGTTTCTCAGATAGGCTGGGTGTTGGTCTGTGAGGACCCTTAATCCAGTAGGAAGGTTCTCCTGGGTTCATGAACTTGAAAGGGTGTGGTAGGTTGGTGAAACTGAATTCAGAGTTTGACTTGGCTTAAAATAATTGAGTGATATGCTCTAGTGTAGCTGCCTTTTACTACTCTGAAGTTAAACTGCTACATGTCTATTTATGCAAGACCTCTGGTTTTATCCTGTCAGCCACTGACAGCAGCTGTAGGTCACAATCTGGCTGACTCGGCTGCTGGGTGTAAGCTGAGCCCATCTATGCTGCTGTACCATAAATTCTTAGTACCTGGTACAAAATACCCCTCTCCTGACCCTGTTGCAACAGTTCATCATGTGCTAAAGCCTAAGCCTAGCTTGTAAAAAGACAATTTCTGGTAAATTCTTCCTGTCCAGCCACACATCTTTGTATTCTTCCATACCTTTTGTGTTTAGTTGAGAGCAGCTCCTACTGTTCCCAGCACTGGACTTGAGGAACTTGAGATGTATAAAGTCCACTTTGTAGAAATCTTGCTTTAATTTTAATGAGAGGGGGAAAAAGAGGATATTACTTTATTACTTAATAAATTAAGCCTGGCTTAAATGCAGGAACTTTTTACTCTATTTGATTAAAGTAACGTACTTGCAGTAGATGAGTTGTTATTGAAGTAGCCCTCCCTTGTAGATGTCTCCTGTGGTTCTTATGGACAAAGCTTGAGAGGATTGTGTCTGCACCTTGACCATCTGGAACTCTGGATTTGGGGTCAGACTTCTCATTTCTTACTGTGGACCTGACTTGCAGTGACACTCAGCTTATTGTTAGGAAAACCCAGTTTCAGCTGTCTGCTTCCTGCTTTGTCTCATGTTAATTTCTCCAGCTTTTCCCTTTGATGGAAGTGCTCTGAAACAGAATAAAATGGTTGGTTTGAGTTTTAGAAAACATTTTTTTTCTTTTCGTGTGTTTAGAGAAATTTTTAGGGGAAAATGGTTCCAAGACACCTATTGTTTTGGCAGCAGTAGCAAGCCCTGTGACCTTTAGGTTTAAGGCTGTTAGTGCTGTAGGTAGTCAAATGAATTGATTTAAAGCAGGCAGTTGCAAGTACTGAACTGGCACATCACCAAACCAGTAAAAATGACCTGGTTAGTTGTAGTCACCTGGGGCAGGGAAAATCACTTTCATGACTTTCAGGATGTGGCAATACAAATCTCCCCTGATAGCAGAGCTTTCTAAGGTGCTGGTCCAAAGAAAGTTATTGATTGAAATTTTCAAGAATAGGTCTTGTGGCTAAACTTGCTTAAACGTTCCCTCTAGATGTTCCTCTCTTCCAGTACTGATGTCATTTGCTGATAATGCAAAGGTGGGTGGTACAGGAGAAAGCCAGAGCTTAGCATGGGAAGGGCTGATGAGGACTGCAGGCCTCCAAATGGACTGGAATTCCCAATGTAAGGTTTTATACCTGAGGACTCACAGGCATTTGGTAAATTAAGAGCTTGTCAACTTTATAAAATCTAGAATAATAAGATCAGATCACAGGCAGACTGAGCCATCAATATGATATGTTCAGGAAAAGGTAATTCCAGCTCCAGGTATGTCTGGTAGAGACGGAAATATTTAAATCCCATAGGGAGATCTTGCCTAGAATAATGTGTGTGGAAAAGAAATTAAAAAAATTGTAGAAAGGATGTTTTGGGAAAAGGACAGTCTGTTTATAAGGAAGCATTTGAGAAGTTGGCTTACTTAGCTAGCAGAACAAAGCTGAGAGAAGTGGTTGCTTTCTCTATATGCCCCAGTGTAAACACCACTGGGAGAAGAAACTAATAAGTTAATGGACAATGCTGGCACATGAACACCACCATCAGCTGACCACTAATTTCTTCTGAAAATTAGAAGGCAATTTCTAACCATTAGGAGTGAGTTTCTGGAAGAAAAGCCCAATAAAACTGCATGTGTAGGAACAATTAGCTTCAACATGAAACTAGATAATGTCATTTCCCTCCCAGAAACTGTTTGCCTGGGATAGTTAGAGTGGGACTCAACCCATCCAGAGTCATTCCTACTGTATTGCTAGGCTAAGAATATAATGGGAACACCGTCTAGTATAAAATATCAAAATGAGGTGGTTTGGTAAGGAAAGCAAAAGTAATACTCTGAGTGGCTGTTAAAGCCATTTCAGTTCATAATTGTATTCAAAGAGTGATACTTGCTCAGACTGGCAGAAATGCAAAAGCATGAGCAGTCTCAGTCGCCTGCTGACATTGCAAGTTGTACTTGTGTCCATGTCTAAGAGGAGCTGCTGTGGCCCAATTATGTAGAGGAGATGGCTGTCTTCAAGGAGGAAAGTCTAATTCTTTCCTCTTTTAATTGGGACTTATTAATCTGGTGCTGGAAACCATTCAGAACATAAGCAGCGTGGGAAGAAAAACCTGGCAGAAGAATTAAAATTATTGGTATTGTTAAGTGACTCTGAAGCTGTGCTTTGAAATATGCACTGAACAACACAAATACGGTTGAGGGGAGTACTTTCAGGTATGTGATGTATCCTGCTGGGAAGAGGAAATGATGTATGAGGACTGTTCTTGTGTAGAGAAGTTATTGGCTGCTGGCAGAGCTAATGCTGGGTGGTAGCAGGACTAAGGTGTGCAAAGGGAGTTGGCAGCTTTTCCCTTGTACGAACTTGCTGTTTGTAACACATCCCAGTGAATACAAATATGATGTCATCTAAAACTGTGACCTAAACCCGCCAAAATAATATTGAGGAACTTATTTGCCAGTGAAAGTGGAAGGCTATGGCAGTTTGCCTGGTGGTGATGATGCAACCAGGTGCCCTGTCCCCTGCACTGAGTTTATTGTGGTTTAGTGTCTCGTGTGCCAGCAAAGCTGCTGGGCTGTGGTAGGGCAGCTGGCGCTGAGTGGTGCTGACCTCTTGCTTAAGAAAGCTGAACCCTGATTGCATTCAGCATACCTGCTTGCCACCTATCTGCACTGGTGATCTTTAGAAACAGGAGGGGTTAACCCAGCCACTCTGTGCTTGATGCAACTTCTGTAGCTTGGCTGGCTGTGTGCTGAGTCAGCTGGCAGAGGAAGCTGGAAAGATGTTTGTTTAGATGAAGTATTCTCCACAAGTCCAGGTTTGAAGCTAGCGTTTGATGCAGTTTTCATTTTATTGGAGGGTGTTTAAAAGGCACTGCTCTGCCCTTGCAGTCAGAGAAAATCCCATTTATCAGAATTGTTTTGCATTATTTAACTAGAAGATGGTGTCCAGAGGGCTGCTGTGCTGTGCAGCAGCAGATGGGAGTATTTGTGCTGCTAGACTGAGACTCAGTGGGGGTTTCTCATGTGATTTCAGTGTGTTTGGTGAACTCATTCCTCTGTTGTACCACACAGAATCTTTAACACTGTGTTGCAGTGTCTTAACTGTTAAATGATGTATGTTACTGAGCAAGTATTTGTTTTTTCAAAGCAAGCATAGCCACAGCATTTTTGTCACCCGAGTGTGCGCTTTTTTACTTGCACTGGCCTTGATTCACTGCCAAACTTAAAATTTATCAGCTTTTCTTCTCGAGGATCTTACTTGTCCTCTTTTTCCTCCATTTCCTTCTGTTACCAGTTCAGTACCTTATCTTCCTTAAAGGCATAGGATCCTCCCCAGAGGCTCCTGTCCGTGTGACTCAGGGTTGTGAATGTGTTTCATCCAATGGCCTGCATCTTGCTTGTGAGTTTTAAGTTACACTTAAACTTGCCTCATTCAACTCGGCCTTACAGGATATTGCAGCAAATCCTCGTGACACTTTTCTTCCTGTAGGAACTGAACTTTAAACCTTCTGTCAATGTCTTGCCAAACTGAATCCCCCCAGTTAGTTTGCTGGGCACTGATGCTAGGGAAGGGGGAGTGCATGGTAGCTCTAACTGAGGCCCAGCAATACCCCAGCAACATTTTGGAGCAGTTTCAGGCCCTGGCCTAGTTGTGTAGTGTGGTTTTTTTGTTATATTTTGGGTTTTTTTCATTCTAGTGTTGCTACAAGAGTGTGAAATCCAAGTTTTGCAGTGACAGCCATGTATCTTCTTACTGGAGCAGGAATGTTCTTCCAGGTTGGACAAAAGAGACTAGAATGTAACAAGTAGAAGTCCAGTCTAAGGTCAAAATGCTGGTGAATGTGGCAGCTCTGGTTTTCTAGAAATAGCAAGACTTTGATGGTAGACCCATTATAAGGGTGATAGTTATGCCATTTTTTTTCCCCTTCATTCTGGAAAATAATTTTTTTTTTTTTGCAGGTGATTGTCAATATATTGTCTACATCTGGAATCTGATTCTCATGTCACTTTTGTCTTGTAGTTGTACTTATTGGAGACTCTGGAGTAGGCAAGAGTAACCTTCTCTCTCGATTCACTCGCAATGAGTTTAACTTGGAAAGCAAAAGCACCATTGGAGTAGAGTTTGCAACAAGAAGCATTCAAGTTGATGGGAAGACAATAAAGGCTCAGATCTGGGACACAGCCGGGCAGGAGCGATACCGAGCTATAACATCAGCGTGAGTGACTGTTTCTGTGGCTGAAGCTTTTGCTCAAGGGGGTGATTTTGGGCTCTTCAATTCCTCAGAAGCTGCAAACAGGAGGTGTTTGTATTTTAGCATGTAATATCTGCAACCTATGGTGAGAGGAAGCTTAAATATTATTCAGCCCAGATACTTCATATAGTGTGTCCCTGCACAAACTGATTTGCTTAGTGCTCTCATGATACGTAACTGGAGGCATTTCAAGCCTAGAATGTGAGAGCTTTGAGAGACTCATTTCAATGCAAGTGATTGATAAAGTATTATCAAGGAGTTTTTATCAGAGGTAAACTAAGACCAGAAACCCTTCTGTAGCAGCAAGGAAAGACTGCTCACTTTGTGTGCTTATTTAATTGGGAAAAAGCAGCATAGACAAAGCTGGATTTAAGTAAAGCTGGAGGTAGTTGTGGGGTGGTAGAACAGAGTCTGGTTCTTTTTTAGTGTTATTTTGCCTCTCCCTTGTCTGAAAAGATACCAGCTGTGGCCTTTTGTAAAGGGAATAGATCAGGTTGACATTTTTATGATCCAGTGAGTCATTCTAAAGTCTCTTTTATCACCACGAGCTGTGCCCATACTGCACCCACAGTGATGGGTGGGGGAGACTTCTCAGTAATAGATCAAAGGTTGAAGGTGACAGTAACTCCTCACAGACTCCAGAGCTCCATTTTTGGGATCCAGGGTTCTACCCACAACCATGGGGCTTGGCCTATTCCCTAGCCTCAGAGCTGTCCTGCTGCTCTAGTGGCCCTGTGACATAACTCTAGTCTGGATGCTTTACTTCACTGTTTGCTGCCCCACGTACCCTGCTCCTGGATGTTTATTTTTGTAGAGCTGTCTTAGCAATAGCCATTTCCCATTTCTGCACAGTAACTTGTCTCTTTTAATCATGATGTTTCTTGCTGGTTCTCCTCACATGTCTGTTCACCCACAGGTACTACCGTGGAGCTGTGGGGGCGTTGTTGGTCTATGACATTGCCAAGCACCTCACCTACGAGAACGTAGAGCGGTGGTTGAAAGAGCTGCGAGACCACGCTGACAGCAACATTGTCATCATGCTGGTGGGAAACAAGAGTGACTTGCGCCACCTGAGGGCAGTCCCTACAGATGAGGCCAGAGCTTTTGCAGGTTGCTGAACTCAAAATAATTTTATTTTCTATTGCTAACTGTCTGGAGAATGTGTCTGCTCTGTCTTGGCTGCACGAGTGTGTGGGTAGGAGGTAAAAGAGCACTGCTGCTGATCCTCCTCTGTATCACATTCTGGTGTTTGCCTCCATTTAGTTCAGTCAGAAAGGAAGCCTTATGGAACATGCATGCTGGTGTGGTTTCAAGAATCGGCCAGAGGCACTCGAAGATTTCAAACCAGATTCATTCTTTTGCCTGTGCATTGCTTTTCTTGCAGAAACTCTGCCTGTGGCTTTAGGTTGGAGTTTCTTGTATGGTAGTAGCTTTGCACCTGTGTATTCTTTGTACCAACTGATCTGGAGCCCTGCTCAGATGTCTGTGACTGAACAGACTTTCATTAAACTGGCTTTTAACTCTTGTTAGATAATCTTTGAAAAATAATTCTAGTTTCTGCAAATCTTGCATTGTTTTAGGCCAAATTTCTTTCATCCAGGAGTAACTGGTTTCTTACATTAAGGTTTGCTGTAGTTGCTTTTGCAGAGGATCCCTGCCTGCAGGTGGGGGAATATAATTTTCCCTTTTCCTCTGCCTCCCATGTGGCTTCCCCTATTAAATAAGCTGCCATGATATTCTAGCAGGTGGCAGGTGGAGAAACTTTGAGATTCAAGAAAACCCGGGAAGCTTCCTCGCACAATTCTTGTGAGTGCAGCAAGTCCTCACTTTCAGTGTTGCAGGAAGGTGTGCCTCAAAGTAACAGAGCACTGGGCTGAGCCCTGTGCTTGGGGAGGAGGGTAAATTCTAACATTGGTGTTGGATACTGTTGCTTTCAGGTCACCTAAAGGGTGAAAAAACCGCAACTTTTTATACTTGATACCGGTGCATCTCATCAGGAACACCACAAATATAACCTGGTACAGAATTTTTTCCAGATGGCAGAGGTGTAATGTACTGGTCTAATTACAGTATTTCTGTCCACACAGAGAAGAATGGTTTGTCATTTATCGAGACGTCTGCTTTAGACTCTACAAATGTGGAAGCAGCTTTCCAGACTATTCTGACAGGTGAGTCATCCACTGCTTTGTGTTTCAATGGGGAAGGGCAGAAGGCTGCTCAGATATGATGCAAATAGGTATTTCCCTGCCTATTCTTTTAAATTTTGCTATTTAATCATTCTTATCAGCCATAAGATTTGGGGTCCAGTTTCAAAGTGTAACAGTTGGAAGATCAGCCTTGAACCAGGAATGAGTCCTCGTTCACTTTGATCTGCCCAAGTTTTTTAGTCAGCCCAGTCTGTGTTTCAGCTTCACATTTGTGTAAGGTGTAGGGAGTACCCATGGGAGAGAATTGTCTCAGGCAAGCATCAAATTAAAACAGCCAGTGTTTATCAGAGGAAAAGTCAATCTAGTTTGTTTCTGTCTTTATTGGTGACCATAGCAGTTGCCAAGAGAAGGATGAAACAGTAGAGATCCTGTCTTAGAACACTACTGGTAATTTGAGACATAGTGGCTTCTGAGCTGCAGGGTAGTCACTGTCATGGCATTTCATAGTCCTGGCTGGACTTGTGGCCTCTAACGTGATGACAGTGAGTGCTGCATTTCTTAGGCTCTGTGGATAAAGTACTTCCTTTTGGTTGAAACCCTTTATTTAGGTAGACCAAAATTGTTAAAGACTCTGAGACATTCAAGTTGGAGCTATGTGGGAGACCTTAACTTAACCATGGCTTGTAAAGGACGGGGTAGGAATTCACAAATCAGTGTGGAAATGACTAGCTGTCACAGGACACTTGTACTGCTCTGTACCCATCAGCTGTAGCCAGGACACAGTGGGACAACAGTGCTGTGTGGGTTTTTGAGTTTTGTCATTCCCACCTTTTGCAAATGCCCCTCCAAGTCTCTAGTCTGGGTCCTCAGAACACCTGAGACTCCTCTGTTTTGGTGTCTCTCTGTTGTAGCTGTGCCAGGGAGCCTCTAAGTTGTCTGCAAGTGCCTGAAACATGTTTCCCAGTTGCAAATTTAAATTCTCTCCTTCCAAGTGTAGCACATGCCAGGCTACCTCATCTGCTTGGTACGAGCAGCAGCCCCACTTCTGAACTGTGTATCTGTCTTAATGAGATCCCAGTGCTGTGACATTAGCACCTAGCTAGTTTTGATTTTTTTTTTTCCTCTTTGTTAGCTAATTTAGATTTAAAAAAAAAACAACACAGGAAACAGCACTTGCTAGTGATACTGAACATGCAGGTGAGGAGGCAGCTAAGAGGCATCTATTCGGTCCTGGTTCCATTGTGTTTTTTACAGTAGATTATTGGCAGGAAAGCTGGTGTATCCATGTCAGATGAATAAACACTGCATAGGGATGCTTGTAAGCTCACTGCTTCTTGCAATGCTGGGACTGCAACTTGGGTTTGTTTCCTCTTCAGTTGAACCATGTGGTTCCCTTTTAACTTCAGTGTAGTCATTTAGTTGTAACTCAATATTGCACAAATAAAAAAAGAGAAGTTACGTTGGCTTATACATTTACTCCCTATGTGACTAACTATTTATAATGTCAGAGGGTGGATGGCTAAGGAGTGGCAGAATATGATTGTATCTGGGATGCCTGCTGGATTTCCTGTTTCATTCACCTACCTAAAGGCAATCCTGTCAAAATCCTCATGAATTTGGACATGGATTTTTCAGGAGAAAGACATTTTTGTTGCTTACTTGTAACTGCTAAAACCTGACACTTCTTCCTTTATGCATGTGTCCTTGGTAGCCCCTCTCATCTCAGAAGCACCCAGTTTGAATTTTGAGGTCAGATTCTGGCCAGATGTGCTCTGTGTAAAGCAGAACAGCTTTGTTGCATGTGCTTTTGGTTTACAGAGGGGATCAGGGCTCTCAGATGAAGGTTAGTTAATTAGCTTTCATACTCTTTCAGCACCAGCACTAATAAAACAGAGCTGGAAACCTATCAGACGTTGTTTATCCCCTCCCGAGGTGGCTGTCATAGCCAATAGTAACTTATCACCTGATTCCTCCATCTCCTTTTGGACCATTCTGTTCTCTAACAGTGACAGCTGAAGAGGTGGAAAGTTTGCTGCCTGCCCTGGGTGCTGCCTCACTGCCACAGAGCTGTGACACGCTGGGGACATACGGCTGTTGTCATGGGGAAGCAGTTCACCTCCTGGGCACAGGCTGGGCTGTTGCTTTATCTCTCCTCACATGTTTCCAACAGTGCCTTTTATTCCAGAAGTTATTTTGCATTCTCACTGGCAGAGGTTTGATTATTTTTTTCTAGTTGAATTGTTCTGTAAGGGAGAGCAGTCTGTAATGGGAGAACAAGAGATTAAAACTGTGGACAGATTGTTGAGGCTGTTGCTTTTCCACAAACGTTGGTGTTCCCTGCATGTTGCTCTGATATTGTTTTGGGTTCAGAGCTCTTGGGTATGTGGACAGCATTCTTGCTCAGGAGGAACTGGCTCAACTATGCTGGAAGAAACACTTTAGCTGATTAGTGGGCATGTGGCTTGCTCCAGACAGAGCTCCTGTTTCAGGGAGATAAAGATGAAGTAAATAATGCATTAGCAGCAGGTTGGCTCCATCTTGGCTGTGACTGGCATGCTAAGGATGAATGTTCTGCCAATAAACTTCTCGATAACACTTCACAGCTGGCTTTTTCTGTTAATGATTTCTCTTAATGATTTGAAGGAAAGAGGGGAGCAGTCATCTGAGGAATGTCGCTTTCAGAGTGACCTTGCAGAATCCTGAGTAGTCTGTATTTGGCAAGGCTGTCTCCAAGTATGGTGCCTGCAGGTGGAATTCTCCCTGTCCTTTGAAGAAGGAGGTTGCTAGAGCCAGCAGGTTTGCCACAGGCTGCCAGCAGAGGTGTCTGACAGAAGGGGCAGGGCATGCTGCTGCACCAGCTGGGCTGGTATTTGCAGTGCTGGGAACTGCACAGCAGAGACATCCCAGGCTGCTGTAGCAAAACTCCTTTCTTCTCCAGTCCTGTTGAAGCTGGTCTGGCTGGGACAGTGCTGGGAATTTGTAAGTGCTTCCCTTGGAGGTGTAGCTGGGTCTGTAAGGTTATCCACACCTAGATCCTCAGATTAAGCCATTTTGAATGGGTGGCTTTGGGCATGGGAAATATGAATCCATTATAGTTCATACTGCCTAAGTATGTGATTTGCTGTTCTTACAGGTGGAAGAAGGGGGAGAAAGCTTTTCTTTCTTCTCTCTGTATCATGAAGGACTTTTAGAGGATGGTATTTCTTAAATTTAGTGGGCTTTCTGTCCCGCTGTGGTTTCCAGATGAGACTTTGGGGACCTTTTCTTTCCTATTGCTCAGAGTAGTGGTCCCTATCCAAATTCTTCTGTTGTAGGATGTCTAGATTTCAAGGACTGATTGTTGTGCACACAAAGCTGCTTTGTATCATCTGGCAAATAGGAGAGACTGGTATTACAATCCTAGCCACTCTGAGCATTCATAGCAGGATAAAACATCCTTAAAGTAAACTGGAGTCTGCCTCCATTCCCTGCCCAGCTCTGTGCTGTCTCTGTTCCTGTGCTGCATTTTGCTGCCATTTCATCTCAAAGGAATCCCATCTCCAAGGAAACAACATTGCAGAGCATCAATGTAAAAAAAAAAATAAATAAAATCCTGGGATTTCCTCTTTTGTTGGCTTTGTGCACCTGAAAAGGAAAGAAACGAATGCAGGCTGAGCAGACAGGGACTGGACATGGCCCTCCTAGGCAGCAGTGACACTTGTTCCCAGCTCTTACAGTGCAAGGCCTGTCTCATGCAGTGACCAATTATGCAGTGATGCATTCTGCTGAATGTGCTCCTCATAAGCTCTCATTCAGTTACTGAGCACAGCATAAAGTGTAGTGTCTTCATTAAAAAGCATGTCTTCATTAGCCTGGCATGCCCTGGTGCACACCAATTTCAGTGCAGGCTTTGCTGCTGGGTGTTTTGCCCTGGTGAGAGCAGGTTTAAGCTGTTCCCACCTCCCCTTTCATGCCAGCAGGGAAAGGCAGGCTTGAGGCATTTAGGCTTCCATTTAGGGCAGTGCTCTGTGGCTGCACAAAGGTTTGTGCTGCAAAGGAGGGCAAAGGGACAGTGAGCAACAATCCTGGGGCTGCTGCAAGGTGATCCAACAGCACAGCTGCTAAACATGCTTGCAGGCCTGCTGGGGAGGCTGTGGAAATGGAGATCATGGGAATATGGTCCCAGAGTCAGAAGGGGTAGACAGAGAAATCAGTACTGTTAAGGATGCTTTTAAGGCTTCAGGGCTGTTTGCTGAAGAGGAGGATGCTATACAGAAGGCGTCCTGCTGTGAGTCCTTGCCTGGTGAAGGAACTATATGATGGCTTGTGTTAGGGACTAGTCTGAACTTGACCAGGAAGTTCTCTGGAAAACAGAATTGTGCTGCTGAAGGTGCTTTTACGGTTTGCAGTAAAAAAGGTGGGCAAGTGCCTTCCGTTGAATAGGAACAGGCAGTTTTCTGCACTTGGAAGTGAACTGACTGCTCTGAGCTGGGGCAGGGCTGTGGAGCAGCAAACTTGTCCTGAGGAATGCAGAGCAGCTCTCTTCCAGCTGTGCTCCTCCCACCTCTGCTCACAGGCTTTCTGCTGAGCAGTGCTGAGTGGCCTGCCACAGGGCGAGGCTGATCTTTATCTGCAAATTCTCACATGGGATTGCCGGTTGCTTTAGACATCTGATTTCATGGGATTCACTGAACTTGTGAAGTTACTTTTGCCTAAGATTGCTGGAAAGAAGAGTGAACTCAAGAAAGGGTGAAATCAGAAAGTCCTTTTACGTGTGCAGCTCTTTTTGTTCCCTCTGTGACTTGATCTGTAGCTGAATGTAGCTGTAAAATCCAGTTTTCAGAACACTTTATCCTTGTCTGAGTCTGAGCTGTCAGTTGGGAGGCCCAACAGGCAGCTTCTTTCCAAAGTCCACTTGCAAAGACTCATGTCACTTACACAGTCCAGCACAGCATCTATGCAAGAGATTTTTATTTTGCCAGCAGCCCTGTGGGTGCACGCAGCCGTGCTCTTGCTCTTCCTGGGGAGCACCTGGCATCTGTTTGTGTTGGCAGCTGAAATCAGAATAGGTTTGTTGCATCAAGGGCAAGATTTTCAAGCCTGGTTTGTCAGGGATCCCTTTGAGCTCCTCGATGCCATTTCTTCTCATTGTGGTAAAAGCAGACACTTAGCTGTGTGATCAGTTCTTGGCAGCAAAGAGGACCTCTCTGCACAGGATTGCTCAGTTTCCAGTACTGAAATGATGTCAGGATGTGAACTAAGCTGCAGCTCATTAAAATTCTAAACAAAAGCTACTCACTAATGACAAATTGCTGGTGGAAAAGACATGTCTTGTTTTGGGGTCAGGCGAGGTGTGTGTTTGGACAGTCATTATCCAGCTCATAAGAGACTTGAGACCTCCAAAAGAACCTGGACCTTTGCTTTGGTTCACCAGGGTTGTTTGTGAGCTGGGCTCTTCCCTGCATTGCTCTGCAGGAGGATGAAGTACAGACACCATCTTCTGCAGCCTGGGCTTATCTGAAACCTTCCAGCAGGGCAGTGACCTGGAGCCTGCAAAGTGGGTGTGGGCATCAACTCCCTTCTCTCAGGGATTCCCCTGCTTGGTGGTGCTGGTATTTGCTGCCAGCAGGCTTCTCTGGTGTGCAATGCAGAAGATGTGAGGCTGTCCTTTCAGGGTCAGCTTCTTGCTGAATTTAAAGCACTTTCAAACGTGTTAAACTGAGGTTTAAAACTCAAATTTGCAAATGAATTCCCCATGTTCTATTTTCGTATCCTTTATTTCTTTTCTGGGGGTGAAGTGCTACACATGCTGTATTCTTTTCTTCTGCGCAGCTGAAGGAAGTGCTTTTGTAGCTACTCTGGGACAATTTGTGTCCAGCATGCACCGTTGGCCACTAACAAAATCCGAGGAAGCTGGGCTAGGCTTCAGTGCAGGTGTGCAGCATTCCCCACTTGGCAGCGTGCTGGGAGAGGCACAGCCAGTTAACCTGTGCTCTCTTGATTTATGCTGGAATTCCTTCATCTGCAGCTCGTGTTTCTTCTCTGTGATTTTGAAGTTTAGCTGCACTAACACAGCAAATTTTGTAGGGGGTTTGTGTGCTGCTTAAGAGGCTGAGTCTCCTGTCTTGGGCCCCAATATTCAATCTTTCCTGAAGATTTAAAACTGCTTGGGTGGTAGACAAGCTAGTGGATGTGATAGGCATGCTGAGAGAGAGAAGTTGTCCTTGCAGTCCTATCAGAGAAAGAAACTTTCAGTGGCTCTTTTTAATCCTGCTGTTGTCTGTGGGTATGTCAGCAACCAACCACTGTCCTCAGAACGTTAGGAACCATCACAAGGAATTGATGGGGAACATAGCTTCTGATTCCTAGCAAAAAAACCCTGTGAATTCTGGGCATTTACTAGCACTTACCTCAAGGGGAGTAAAACAGTTGTTAAAAAATTAATTTCTTTTGCAAAAAATACAAATATTTTCTTTCCTGAATATAGAAAACATCACAGTTGAACTTCTTGTGAACTCTTCTGTACATGACCTATGTAGATCCAAATCTTTATATATTTTATGCCTGGTTTCTCCCAGACTTAACTTTCTGGTGGTGTCTTGCTGCTGTACACGTAATGACAAGCTTTTTCTCATCTTCCAGAGATCTATCGTATTGTTTCCCAGAAGCAAATGTCTGACAGACGTGAAAACGATATGTCTCCAAGCAACAATGTGGTTCCTATTCATGTCCCTCCAACCACTGAAAACAAACCAAAGATGCAGTGCTGTCAGAATATATAGAATTGTTCATTCTTTCCTAAAAGGCTGTGTATATTCCCCCAGGTCCAAGATTTAAATATATTTGTAATTCTCATGGTTGCTTTCTTGTGTTTAGTTACTGCTTATTCCTTCTGAATTTCTCCATGTCTTAAAACACTTTAATTTCAGTGTTTATGAATCTGTTGCTTCTGTGTGGCTGCAGTATTTTCCCAACACCGACTTGTCGGTTTTGGGTCAGTGAATTGGATGGAACTGATCTGATCTTTGCAACATGATGCCTGCTAGTTAGAGCACAGACACCTCTAGTGAGCACTTGGAGATGTTATTATGATCCTCTCTAAACAATTACTGTCAAGTTAACTAGGAAAGTATCTCTGGGCAGGACAATCTTTCCTTGTCTTAAGGTGTTGTACACTGCATCTAAGGCTTGATGAAGTGCCCCTTGCTCTGAAGTGCAATTTTAATGTAAGTTAAATGTGTTTGGCTGCATCTTCAGATTGCCAAGTTTTTTAATAGAATATTATGGGGGAGAAAAGAGAATTTTTTGCAAACCAGCAGCAGGGTTCTTGCTTCCTGTGAATGGGCTGTTGTGGCTTGGCACCTGCTGCAGGGGAGGTTGTGATGTGAGGCACAGCTGCTGGGAGGCTGGCCAGGGAGATGCTGGTGGGACTCCGTGTGAGCTGCCTCTTGTGAAGGAAGCCAAAGCACAAGCTGTGTAACTGATGAAGGGTCACTCCAACACTGGAACTTGCAGCATGGTTTTGTGCTGCCTGAGACTTGGCCTCCACAGTGCTGGTGGTATCAGGATTGGAGGATGCTTTTTTTTCTTTCATGGCACACAGACTTGAAGGGGTTTGTCATGTATGACATATCACATTTATTAATACATGCCATGTTTATTAATCACATGCTTGACTTGATGAATCAATAACTTCCACAACCTGGCCTTAGTTTTCCATTCTGTTTCATCTGGTATTTTTAAATTATTCCAGTGATTTGGTAATTTTTTTTTTTAACAAAAACATCTGGAGTAGTTTTCATACTGGATGCCTTTCTTTTTGTGCTCTGTTGCTCCATACAGATCCTCTTTGCTCAGCTTGTTCAGGGATACATGACCTGTGCCTTCTGTCGCTGCACTCGCTGCTTGGCACCCTCTGCGCCATTCCCAGACACGCCTTGGAGACTGAGGCTTGGGGCTGTAGGCACTGCATTTCGACAGTATTTAAGAGCTGTTTGTTGTATAAATGCCTGCAGTTATTTATACGATGACAGGGAAGTAGTTGATTGTAGGGGTTGTTGCTCAAACTCTGATCTGACCCACTTGGAACAGCCAAAGCTGGGTAGGCTCCACCAGCTGCGTTCCGTACCCAACCTTTCTGTCCTGCGGTGCTCATGATGTGTAAGGCACACGGAAGGCATTGCTGTAGTCAGTCACTTGGTTTGGTGTTTTGTTGTTTTTTTGGTTTTTTTTTTTTAAATCCATTTCTCCTCCTAGTATTAGTTCTGAAGATGCTATTTTGATCTGTTTGTAAATTACTTTGTATTTTATGCATGTACTGTACTTTGATTTGTTATTTTTTTAGATTGATTTAAAATATATTCATCCATGATTCTAATAAAGAATTACAGGGGACTACTCAGTATGGCGTTGGGTGCACTTTCTGGGAGAACTGGGATTTTGCATGAAGGTTTTTTATGTACTGGAAGCTCATCAGCTTCTTGGAACAGGCTGTGAAGAGAGTCTGAAGTGGAAGTACCCCCCGAAAAGGAACTGAAAGGGTCGTGTAAGGCAGTTGCTTTCTTTGCTCAGGACAGGCCTGCAGCTTTTGGGGGTTGCTGCAGCCACAGCCACGGAGTCTGGCAGCTTCAGGGAGCTGATGCTCTGAAAAGTCTGTGAGGTTTGCTCTAGTCAGACCCCTGCATGGCTTTTACAAACCTGTTTGGTTTTTTTTCCACATTATACCAGTGAGAAGATGCTGTGGAACAGCAAAACTTTCTGCTACAGGAAATGATTTAAGCTTTTTGATCCCACCTTGGTGTCCTGCTGCAGAAGTGGTGCAGAGGAGCCAGCCTTCCTGTGAGGGTTGTGTGTGGTGTCCCTGGCTGCAGGAACAGTCACACAGAGGCTGTGAGGTAGTGCTGGGGGCTCTGGGGACAAAGACGATTTGGGGCCTTTTAGCATTGCAGGCATCTGAGGATGAGGTGTAAGGCTGGGCCCTTTCTTGCTGCAGGAGCTGCTCCCTGAGCTTTTTCTGGCCAGACTGGAGCATATATTGGAATTAACAAAATTAGTGGGGTGGCCAGCTTCTAAATTTGTCAACTAGAAATGCAGGATGAGTTTCTCTTTGCTGCCTTTTCTGACTCATATAAGCAGGCAGCTTGACTCAGCCATCCCATCAGTTTTGGATTTTGCTTGATTTTTCTAAGACTTCCTTTGGCAGCAGATGCCCCCACAGTGAGGCCGGGGGGGCACAAAGTGCTGTGGGAGCTGAGCCCTCCCTGCCCCACACAGGGTCTGCACGTGTGCCTGGTCTTCCTTCCCCTGTTTAATCCTGGGCAGCTGTGAAAGGGCTACATACGCTGTTAGACAAAGTAAGAACTATTTATATTTCTCCCCCCACCAGAACTTTTAAAACTAATAATAAAAAAACAGGCCTTAGATAACACTGTGCAAAAACTGATTTGTACTTACTGCTGTAGCAGGAAATCTAGAGTTGTCATGCAGTAGTTTGTGAAGCCTTCATAAGCCGTCGACTTCCTAAAGCAGAATCAAATGGTGTATGTGCAGAGATGTAACTTCTTACCCATCACAGCTTCACCTCCTGTTTCATGATTTTGTACTGCTTGTTCCTGACTAAGCACTGCAGTGCTGTGCATCCCGGCTGGCCCTGGCCTGGGTAACACTCCTGGGACAAGAAGGTTCTTCCCAAAGAGCTCTGGGAGAGATAATGCAAGATGTGATTCTGTCTGAACACTGACCCCACAGAGCATTGTTCCCTTTCAGCTGCTGATTAATCATTCCTTTCTGCAGCTGGCATTCTTTCTGGATGGAAATGTCTTTTCTCTGCTATTAGGAGACAACTGATTAGAACAGATACTGCTTCTGGGCCTGGAATGAGCTTGCTGAGTTTCTGGGAACTCCGTATAATGCTGCAAAATTTGCTTTACTTGCCAAAAGCTTTTGCTGTAATTTGCGTATTTGAAAGTCCCAACCTTAACAATGCTGAAGCTACTCAGCGAGGACCAGTGGCTCCTGCGTATGGTGGAAGTTGAGGTTCTGACTCTTAAGCAGAAAGGACATGGAATTGATCTGATTTAAAGACACTTTATTAAGCCGTAATTACTTATTCTCTCAGTTCAAACCTGATGAATTTCCAGCCTTAAATAGCTTATTGAGTGTTGCTTGTCAAATAAGAAGATTACATGCTGGCCTTTAGTTAACAAGAGTTTTAGAAATATAAAGCACAAATATTGAAAGAGCCTCAATGTGTAGCAGTCTGCTGTGCTGCCTGGAAGTCAGTTACTCTGCTGGAGTTGCTGCTGCAAAGCTGTGCTTGGCATTTATTGATGAGGTTCCCTAGGGGCACCCTTAAACCTGCTGAGGTGGCTGCCATGTGTCCTGTCCCATTGCTACTGGGTGCAGTAGGTAACTGCTGGCTTGTGTCCTCCAGTGCCCACCTGGAGGCACAACCCTGGTGGCATCGAGCACTGTCACAACACATGCTGAAATGCATCACGTCGTTTGTGCATCCTCAGGACCTCTCTGAGGTTAAATGTCTGGGGAAGGAGCACCTGGAGGAGCTGCGAGAAAGAGATGTAGGATCCCAGTTACGGTTTGTTTTAAAGCTGAGCCTTATTCCAGATTAACTCCAAACTGCAGCCTGAGTTACAGCATTGTGCTTTGGGAGAAATCCTGCAACTTCTGCCTTGTGAGCCTGATGCCTGTGGGGTTATTTTTGTAGGGGACAGCCCCTTCATGACCAGTCCCTGGAGAGCTTGGACCTGAACATAGGCTGGAAGTTTTAGTCTGCAAATGAGCACGTTTGAGAAATGCACTTTGAGAGAAATTAAATTTATTTTGTACAAGGTAGAATACCTTTGCACAGTGAACAAATATATTACAAATCTGTCTTGCCTTAAAAAAGTATTGCCATTTGGGTGGCCTGTTTCCTAAGCTAATGCTACTGTACAAGAAGGTGGTACTTTTTTTTGTTGGTTTTGTTTGCTTTTTTCCTGTTAAGCTCTATGCACATGGTTGCATTTGGTTTGAAAAATCCAGCTTTGAGGGGAAAAAAAAAAAGAAGGAACTGAGCATATCCCTGCTCTCTGGAATCTCATGGCAAATGTTACAGCAACACACACTGGTCAGGCTGGCAGCTGAGACTGCTTGTGCTGGGTATCAAGGTAGGTCTCTGACAGAATTCCTTATTGAACTGCCTTTCTCTTGATACTTCTGAGGTAAGTCTTTCTATTCATGTACATAAAATATATTCCTACTGGCCCTACAAAATAATTGCTTGCATCTCAAATAAGGCTTTCCTGGAAAATAAAACTGCTATTGCTGATCAGTCACTGCCCCCATGCACACATGCAGCATCCATGTAGCTACTTAGGCATCATCATCCAACATAAGACTCTGCTGCTCTGAAAGGCTGGGGGATCTCTGGGCTCAGCTCCAGCACCTCTCTGCAGAACTCCTGCTTTGCACAGAGGGGTGCAGAGCCAATCCCCCCAGCTGGAGGGGTCCCAGCTCTCCAGCAGTGCTCAGCTGGGGCTCCCTGAGCCCTGGTGTCTGGTGTGGCAGCTCCCCCAGGGCTGCAGGGCTGCCGAGAGGGGGGTTCCATCCCCGAGGTGAGGGCTGATGCCTAGGCTGACTGGGAGCTGGGATTAAGCTGCTGCTCCAGAGTTGGAAGGCTGCTGTGGCCAGTCCCCCAGACCAGCAGGTTACTGGGGTGATCATGCTTGAGCAAACTGGTTGGTGCTGGGTTCGGTCTCTTCTCCTTCCATCAGACGGGTGAATGTGCAACAGAATATTTTTTTTTGTTATATATTTCAGAGGCAATCAGCTTGTTACTTCCATGTTTGCCTAATAAAATTACATACTTAGAATCAATACTATTTCATGCTCAAAATCTACAAGGAACTGCTTAACAGCAAGTATTCTACTTTCTAGGTCAGTAAAGATAAAAAAAAAATACTCATGGTGACTTAGTCCCAAACTTTACCATGAGCCAACTCCTTGGTAGTTTTTTCACAAATGGCTGAAAATGAAAACTCTGTTTCAGCTCAATTTAATAACATTTCAGGCAGAATTATCAATGGATAAGGTTGCGCTACATGGTAATGCATATGAAATTAAAGGGTGTTGTAAATGACATGCTGTGAATTGTGATGAGATGGGTTGTAGAGATGGACTAAAGAAGCCAACATGTCTCAGCTAGAGCAAAGAAATCCAAACCAGATCTGTGCAAAACTGCAGTGTCCCAGGGAAGAAGATGAAGGTGCATCAGTTGATACCGCCTGACAGATAGGGTGGATGTCTCTAAGAAAATAGAGATTTATAAGGAAAATTAAAGATGATCTGTGACAAAGTATTTTGTAGCTTGTTGAAAGCGTGGTAAGCTGAGTGTGAGACTCATTGTTGAAACTCAAGTCGTTAGCAAAGACCAGTGAACATTTGCCAAGATGTTACATTTAAAAAATGGCACAGAATGTGTCTGTGCTCATATTCCTCAAATACCCTGGTACTGAAAATAATGATGAAAATTTTAATGCTAATTACCAAGCATGATCTTGCACATGATGATAGCAGTAAATGAGGCTTCCAGTGAAATGACACATTTCCCTGCTTTTGGTCAGAATGATGTCTATTTCCATGAGAAAGATGTAAAATATATTCCAGCGTATTCATAGACACCTTGTTCCTAACAGTAAAAGGTTCCTTGATGCAGTTGGTAGAATTTTACATTCTACTTAGCATGTTTTTGTGTTTTATTTTACAGCAAAGCCAGGGTTAGAATGCACACCTTGGAGAGTTTGTGCCTGGAGCAAAGCAGACACCTTCCTGGGGGTTATGTACTCCAGTCTGTGTGGAGGAGGTTCTCATTATTTCCTGTTACCCATAGAAAAATGTCTTTATAAATAACATCATGCAGCAGTTGGCCCAAGCTGATGTTACATTAGGTCCTTGTGTAAGACAGCCTGAAGTCCCGTCAGCTTCCTGCAGCACAGAAAGGGATTGTCCTCTTCTGCATCCTCAGAGTCTGTTTGCAGCACAGTGCACCAGTTCAGTTCATCCCTTTAAGACTGCTTGTCCCAAGATGGCCCGTGTGTCGGGCTGTGCCTTATGGGGAGGAGGTCGTAGTGACCAGGAATGTGACTGTTCCTAGGCAGGTCGTATGGATTTTGGAGGTAACTGGCACTCCGACCATGGGGGTCTTGGACCACGCTGACAGTGGGCTCTGGGAAGCAAAGAAAACTGAGTTACCAGCTCTAGCAGCACTCCCCAGACTAATTACTTTGCTTATGTCTTTTGTCCTAAGCACAGAAGACCAGCTTCCCCAACCATCTCTTTACCTCACATTTTTATCCCCACCTCCCAGGGCTTTTCTCCCCAAACCAACATGCTCATGCACAGACCCCCTCCCCCCAAGCCAGTGTCTCCCTGCACCGTGCCCAGTTGCTACTTGTGAAAGGAAGAAAAATCAGCATCTACAATGGAACCACCAACTGTTGGGATAGACCTGCAGCTGCCTGCCCTGCTCACCAACTTCGTAGATGTTCTTATTGGCGGTCGATGAAGTTGGCATTTCTGAATATGGGGATTCCCTGTGACCAGGTGACTTCATTTCCACGTAGCTGCTCTCGGAGTGTTTGCATGTTAAAATGGGGGGGTCTTTGATGGTGGCATATGGGTTTTCACTGCTATTCAGAGAACAAGTGCTGGAGCTGCACACAGATTCTTTCATATAATCTGTAAAACAAGAGCAGAGTGGGTATGTTAAGAGTTGTTTGCTTGTTTAGGTTAATTACAACTGAACCTTTGCAGGAAGGGGGTGGGGGCACAAGGG